TCCTGTTCATATTTCATATTAATATTTTGAACATTACTTAAAGGATCAACTAGTTTTGTTTCATATATTAATTATTACTAGAAATGATCAACGAACCGATGGTTAATCGTTGATGGTTTCACAAGTAAGTAACTTCGGTTTATTAATGCACGGTCGTGGTTAATAAACTTAAGAGGGATTAATTTCGTTGGTTAAATCGAAACCGTTGTGTTGAGGTTATCAATCTCAATTGATTTCATCAAGGAGTTAGAAAGATTAAATGCTACTATTAAATCGGTATAAGGCGTTGTTCTATATTTGATTAATAGTAAGAGTTATTAATAAACGGTCGTTGTTAATAACTACCCTCGATGAAGTGGATATACTCCCCGATTGAGTATTCGAGAGAGAATAAGTTATAGATATAACAATGATCGACTAAAATATATCAACAAGTGGAAAGTAGCAATGTCAAGTCCTTTTTTATCTCTGAAATAAACACATATAGGTTGTTCATCTTAGTTTTTAAATTAAATCATTCAATCTCAAAACTCCCCTTTTATTTACTAGTTTTATAAAAAGAGAATTATTCTTTTCCCTGTGGATACGAACTCTACTACGCTATACTACGTATAAGTGTTATTGAAAATTATTTTGACGCACCATGACAAAGTTCTCATCACTAACCGTAGAGGACTAATCGGCCTATTTGGTGAAAAAATAGACCCAGTCGGCCGACTAAATGCTAGGCGCCTCTCAACCGCTACACTTATTACGTTGGTCATCCGCAATTCGAACAATGCTCTCTACTCCACAACGTAACCAATGGATAATTTTTGTTTTTTTGTTCTTCATTATCACTTGTTGTCCACGTGGAAAATTCATGACATTTGCCGGTCTTCTGCATTGAGGAATTACTAATTTCGTAATTTTTTGCACTTTTGGACTACTATATAGAACTAGTGGCCTGGTCTCCGTCTGCTTCCATGGCGTCGCAATGATGGTGGACTCACGGTAGATGATGAAGGTGAAGAGGCGAGAAAGCAAAGACGCTCGGTTGCGTTAGAAGAAGGGAACGAAGATAAGGTAGCGTCATTCTTTCTAAATGGTTACATTTTTGTCCTAATCAGATTTGATCATATTTGTGTCCACACAAATTATGAGAGTTATACCCGCGTCATTCTTTCATATCAAAATATGAGCAAAAACATTTTGAAATTCCAAAATAGGAGTATCATGTTTTTTATTCCCTGAACAAGAGTAATCTGCCAAGTTTGAAAGAAAATGCCATGTTTAAAGCCTAGTAATGCCATGTTTGACAGAAATTTACTCCTATTTAGGGAATAAAAAACATTATACTCCTATTTTGGAATTTCAAAACTTTTTTACTCCTATTTAGGGAATTCTCTTAAATAATTTTAGATTTATAGCCATCACTTTTAGACTAGGTTGTTGTTCTAAACTTAAAGATTTTGTCTGATTTTCAGAAATGATTAATTATCAGATATAAGGATTTGTGATCTTTTCTTACCACTTTGATTTTTAATGTGTAATATATTTTGTCAAACTTAATTTTACACTTTTTTTATTTTGTAAATGAACTATTTTCCTATGTATCACGTTTAAGAAGTCATTAACTTTTTCTTTGAAGAGTTAGAACTTTAGTGAATAATATGTTGGTTAATTTCGTAACCAAACAATTTCTCAATTGATGGGTAGTAAGACACGTTTAGCCTTCTAAAATCCAACCTAATTAAGCTTCACTTGTTATGGCTAAATTCGTCGGTGTTAGTGAGAGGGTACATAACCGTAGAAAATACATGAGAAATGGTGCTAAATAGGAGCTTAAGTTTTCATATGTAATTAAATAAGACCTTGACTTTTTTAACTCCTAAATAAGACTTACTTTCCCGTTTCTTCCCTATTTACCCTTAATCCCTATTTCTTTTGTCTTCTTCGTCGACAAAGCCAAGGAGAATTAATTTCTCTTTCATACTGCACAAGTGGGAGCGGAGATGAGGCACAACGGAGATGAGGCACAACGGAGAAGAGACAACAACAGCACGGCGACGGGGCAACGGTGGCACGATGAGTTGGTGAGGCGGCCGCCCAGTGACGCGGCTGAAACTGCACCACTGTGAGTTAACTTCCTCTTGGATTAACTTCCTCTTCTGTGAAGTTAACTTCTGGCCTTTTGGATTTTGGTTTCTTGCAAGACCATATCATGATCTATTTAGAGAAAACGACGTTATATCCCTCATCTTTGCCTTCTGTATTTTTCACCCCTCCAATGTCGTCCTTTTCCTCCTCGTCGCCGGAAGTGACATCGTTAACAACGGAGGATGGCAGTAAGCTTAAATACCAAAGTCTCAAGTCGAACCAGATGTAGTGATGTTACCCAAGCATGTGCTCAATTGTAAATATATACTCCGTAGTTAATCTAACACTTGGGACAAAACAGAGGATACTAATTTGCGATTAAATTAGTTTTTGTGGTTGTTTTTTGTGTAAACAGAAATTAAAGGGAGATATTTGTTGATTAAAGTACTTGTTAGTACAAACAGCTGCTATATCTTCAATTAATGTAGAGGGTAGTTCCATTTTAATAAATGCATCAGTGAGTTTTTCTTTTGCACAAGAACGGTTTGATGAAATGTCTATGTGAAAATTCTCCTTGTTTTGCATTTTTTAGTTCAAAAAAATCATGGGCACCTTATTTAAATTGCATGAGCGGGTAATTTTGACATTTTTTATCTTTTAATCTTGACAATGTGTAGTTATAATGAAAACATTGTCAAATTTTTACAATGTCAAATTTTTACATTGTCAAATTTAAACTTTGTTACGATGTCATTTTTACAATGTCAATTTTTTATATCATTGACATTGGCATTGTCATTGACATATTTGTTACAATGTCAATTTTTTCAAATTGTAACTCTAATGTGTTGCTTATTTTTTTGAGAGAAGAAAAGTGCTATGTTTTATTCTATGTTTACTCGGTATATTTTATAACATTGTTATAATTGTTCCGGTTCCACTTTCATTGTTATTCTTATGACATTGTCATTGACATTCTTATGACTTTGTCATTGACATTCTTATGACATTGTCACTGACATTGTTTTCTAGTGACATTCTTATGACTTTGTCATTGACATTCTTATGACATTGTCATTGACATTGTTTTTAATGACATTCTTATTACTTTGTCATTGACATTCTTATGACATTGTCACACCTTTAACAATGATCATGTGAATAAAGTATGTTAACATTATCATATATTTAAATATTTAAAATGTAATAATGATAGCTATGTTTGACAATGGCAGTGGCTACGCATGCTTTAATTAAAGGGTCATGGGTATAACCGTACAAGTATTAGGCTTTGTAATATTGTATTCGCCATCCACCGCTAGCAGTCTATCATGTCCAGCTTTGAACACCTACAGAACATCGACATGACAGCATGTCCTCATTTTCCTTGGCTTTGTCCTCCTATCCGTCGCTCCTTCACATATTGTGCTCCAGAACATAAGCAAAAATAGCTCTCTAGAAATTGAAAAGTCAAACAAAAATAAAAAAGCTACCGTACGAAGAAGAACTGAAAGAAAAAAGGAAGACGAAGCGAAAGATGGAGGTTGACTCCTGCCAATGACCACTTGTGTGATGTGTTGTGACGGCAGCTGCTCCGGCGCCAACCTGCAGTAGATCTGAATTAAACACATCAGTGATGTGCGCCCGATGAGAAAATTTTGGTCTTCAATGGGTCTCACCTTTGTTTCTGCCTTGCCGGTGAGTTGAATGGCTGCTCCGTATGATGGGAGAATGACAACAAGTAAGATTTGCGGGCAGCGTCATTTTTAGGGGTGTTTTTGTCCTTCCGTTAAAAATTAGTCTTATTTAGGTCTTAAAAAGTTTGGACTCTTATTTACGTTCCTAAGCCTTATTTTATTCCTATTCAAGTCTTTTTCCCAAAATGCATTGCTCTTTTACACAAAACATCGCTTTATCCCTATCTAAATCTAAATTCCTATACATGCCATGAGAACATAAATCGGTTATATGTGCATGGTCGATAGATAAAGGGGAAAAATTGAAATACTGTAATTAAGAAATGCGAAGCAGCATGTATTATAAACTTTGTCCTTCAATTTAATCATATTAAAAAAATGTTCCTAACCTATTTTTTACGCTAAAAATAGAAATAAAAAATTAACGACAACAATAACTTTTATTAGTATATATTAAAATAAGATCGACACATATCACCACTCAGACGTGCTTACAAATTAAACATGGCACGAAGGGGGCAATGAATGAATTAACATACTTAACCTCTCTTTCTATACATGTCTAATAAAATAAATTATTTATTTTAGCTATCCTGTTATATAATAAATATATTATTTAGGATTGAATATATTAATTTGTTTAGGCTGGGGCTGCGGCTGCTGCAGGTGCACAAACGGCGGGAAATTGTTTACCGGTTAGCGTAGGCGTGACGTTGTTGCATTCGGAGATGGCGGTGCCGTTGGTTCCTTTGTATTCCAAGTTGATATCACCCACCTCTACCTTCTCGCACGGCACTCCTTTGCTGCAGGCGAGTTTCACGGCCACTTTTGTAGCAGACGTACCCTTAATGCCCTTGAAGCTGACGTCACTAATCTTCACTTTAGATGGAACCCCGGCGGTGCATTGGTTCCACGGGCAGTATTCTTGGTCAATCAATATCGGGTTGCTTACGTTCTCCATGGTCACGTCCTCGAAGTGCATGCCGGAGGCTGTCCCTTCCGGTGATGCCGGCCATGTCTTAATTCTCACGCCGTTATCTGTGTTGGTTAGGGTGCAGTGCTTCACGGTCACTCCTTCCACCGGCTGTTCGTCCTTGTACTTTCCTAAGCTTCCGATGCTGATCCCGTGGCCTGGCCCGCAATTCACGTTCTCGATGTTAACCTGCTTGGCACCATCCCCAAGAGATACACAGTCGTCACCGGTCTTTATGGTTGCACCGAGAATTGAAACTCCGTCAGAGCGACCGATGTGGATGCCGTCAGTGTTCGCGCTGTCGGCCGGTGCCGTGATGGTGATGTCACTAAGGGTCACGTTCTTACCCTGGATGACGTTCACGTGGAAAAATTTGCTGTCCAAAGAAGTTACACCTTTCACTTCCGCGTTTGTCAATCCTCCCAAATTCAAGTTCTGTAACACAGTACAAATGTGTATTTATGTTAAATACTTGAGGTTAATTGATTAATTGTAAACTATGGAGCACCTAAATCTTAGGAAAATTATGTTTATGATTCCAAAACTCTTGAGAAACCTCCAAACACTTTTTTCTATTAAAATATGATATTTCTCGTTGCACTTTTCCGCATGCTTTTCACATCTCCGTGTAACATATAGTGTAAAAAAGAAATGCCATACTTACAATGGGGAGGAATTTGCAATTTCCGCTGAAACTCTTCTTGCAGTTGTTTGCTTTCCAAGCGTCTTGTCCCTTACCGTCGAGAGTACCACCGGAGATAGTGAGACCTTCAATGCCATAGAAAAGGATCCACCCATCTTGTCCTTTAAACCTTGTGAGATCGGTTGGTGCAATAAATGTTGCACCATCGGCTTGAAAAGTTATGGGATTCCCACATGGGCCCATCAACTTCATGGGACCTACCATGTACTTTCCTGCAGGAACTACAAGAGTGCTTTTATCTGTTGCTTTGCATGCGTCTGCCCATGCTTTAAGAATTGCCTAATCCAAAAATAAAATCATATTATCACATTAGAGTTTAATTTGACATTCAAATATTTTCATTCTAGCTTTGCTACTTAATTAGTACTCCGTAATACTTTTATATGTTATATTATATGTACCTCGCTATCGTCGGATGTACCATCACCTTTGACTCCATATGTTTTGACGTTAAATTCAGCGGCATCGACTCTTCCAAATACATACACTACACAAACCACCATCCATGCAACCTGGATCGCCTTAGAACCCATCTTTTATTTTTCTTTGTTTATTTTATTTTATTTTATTTTATTTTATTTTGAAGGTATTTTTTTTCACTTTCTGGTGAAAGTACAGATTGATGGATTGTTAGGAGATGACAAATGGGTATTTATAATAAGACAAGAAAACTTCTAACCACACAATGATATGCTCATTTTTAGGCATTTCATTCTCATGTGTCTACTAAGTCTTTGGTCCCGGGTGATTGGATTAACATGGCACCGATCATATATATTGTACAATTCTACTGATGAAGCCGTACGTTAGAGCTACAACCTAGCTTGTCCACAGTATCTATCTTTTAGTTTTCTTCTTCTTCTTGAATTTTAGAGTGAATATATTGATTCTTGACCGTAGAAAATAAAAATAAAAATTTCTCAATATAGAACCAAAAGATACACAAAGTGCAATTTTTTTAGTTTTCATTCCTCAAATACGATTTATTTAGTCTTAATAAAAGAATAAGTTGATTAAAATTTCTCAAAATAGGAGTTGTTGGGATATTGATCCAGAGGCCCAATACCCGGATTAAGAAGACCCAAGATACCTGGCCCAAACGACGAGCCCATCACTCTATGAAGAATTCATGCTGAACGAGATTCGGCCCAAGAAAGGGTTGGCCCAGCAAGAAGATATACCGAACGGAGTTCGGTCCAAGTAAAGGCCGGCCCAGAAAGAAGATATATCGAACGGGGTTCAGACTATATATCATACTTGGGCCAATTTGGCAGCGTCTTCAGCATGGTCCAACATCCCGTTCAAGCAACGGACAACTGGCAAGTGGCCAGGTGCAATTAATGCCAGATTGTGACATCAGCAAGTGGAAACATGGGTGACCAAGTCGGTGGAACAATAGCCAATCAGCATAGAGCAGCCCATGTTCTCCATTAGTATAAATAGAAGGTTTAAAATCATTGTAAGGGTTAGCATTTCAATACTCAGGCTCTAGAATAGCATTATTGCTCTTATTTCTTGTATTAAAGCATTGTTTCCGACCTACCGATCGGGAATTTCCTTGTAATCAGACTGGTTAATTAATACAAGTGAGCTTTCGAGTATTAGTGAGTTCATATTTTATATTTTGGTTATACACTTTGATTCTGTACCATTCCTGATATATCCAAAGTTCGTGTTGGGCTTTTGGATCTACGGGATTTACCTTCAACATTGGCGCCGTCTGTGGGAAATTGTTCAAAAAGTTTCACATTCAAATCATCCTAAAAACCACTATTTTCGAAAATGGCCAGAATCAGTTCCTATCACACAAACGACGGTTCACGCCGTCACAGAAGGAGTCACACCCCGGGGAATCAAACCCCTCAGGGACAATCCAACCGAGGATCGTATCCTCGTTTTGATGGGGATTTTGTGATTCCTGAATCTCTAAGAAGAAATCCTCAGGCCACGCGAGATATGGCCCAGGTCATGCAGCATATGGCCAACGAGGAGGAAGGAGGGTCCAACTTTACAGGGGAGACTCCACACACGAAAACAACCACAGCGTCATCCCGTTCGCATGCCCATCGGGATAATCGCCGTAGCGCCCCACCAACAGCGCATCATAGTCCCAGTGACCGAACCCCGATCGGATCACAAGCTAGGGGACCAACTCCTATTGGTCATCATTTCCAGTATGCCGAACGGGATAATACCAGGGCCGCTCAACGGCATTGGGACCGGGACTATACAGACATGAGGGCTCCACCACCGCCCCCTTTGACGGCCCAGGAGGAAGAAATGGCTGAGATGAGGAGGCAGATGAACGAGATGCGAGATCAGATGAACAGGGCGCCTGTACAACCTGCCCCAGTTCAGCTGGGAATTACTTCCCCTTTCACCAGGGAACTCATGTATGCGGACATCCAAGGAGGTGCCAAACCACCGACCGATCAAATCTATGACGGGGTGGGAGATCCCCATGTGCATTTGAGGAGTTACCAAGGGGACTCATTCTACTAGGAGCACCCGAGGCTGCTATTTGACGGTTGTTTTTTAGTACGCTCAGAGGGCCCGCCCAGGAGTGGTTCGGGACACTCCAACCCGGGTCAATCAACATTTTTGCCGAATTATCGACGTTATTCTTGGCCCAATTCGCTTCCAGTGCCAATCCGAAACGGCACTTCAGCTACCTGACCAGCGTGAAGCAAAACGCCAAAGAGACCCTCAATCAATTCTTAAAAAGATGGAGGGATGAAACTCTGACAGTGGAAACATGACGGATGATACCGCCATTACCCTATTCACGAATGCTCTCCGAACGGGAGAGTTATACAAGGATTTGAAGAAAAATCCGGGTACAACATATGCCGAGGTATTAGACAGAGCTTGCAATCATGCTGCCCTAGAAGAGGAGATAATGATCAGGGATAAGGTCGTTGCGCCTGCTGCCCCGATCAGAATGGCCGATCGGCTGGGTCCTAGCCCAGTGGCCGCTATACCTCCCAAGCAAGGGAGATTTACCCCCTGGTCCTGTCAGTAGGGACCATTTATCAGCACGAGAGGGACAATATCCCCCTCCCGACCGATTTTTCACAATTTATGGGAGCAGATGACTCCGCTTTTTGTAAATATCACAACAGGAAGGGTCATGCCACCAACACCTGTAGGGCCCTACAAACGGCCATTGAGGATTTGATCCGACGGGGTCATCTGGGCAAATATGTGAATAAGGATCCAAATGCTGTGGGCACGTTGAAACCGATCAGGAAACCTAATAGTTGGCGACGGGATGCCCAACGTGATGCCCAGCCTCAAAATGACGTATATATCCCCCCCAGGGATGAACGAGAGGGCTTGGGAGGCTGCGGAAAGAAACCTCGAATGGAGGTCAAGGTTATATTTGGGGGCGGGGAGACAGGGGATTCGAACGCTGAACGGAAAAGGTTCGAGCGAAGTCTCTATGTGGGATTCATCTCCACTCCCCCCACAAGAAAGGAAGGACGGACCCGATCACGTTCGGGCCAACTGATTTACCCAACTCTCCAAGCCCGCACAGGGATGAATTGGTGGTGAGCATGTGCATTGACAATGCTTTGATCCGCCGAGTAGTGATCGATACCGGGAGCAGTGTGAATGTATTGTATTTACAATCATTCGAGAAAATGGGTCTACAAAGAAGTCAACTGACCCACCTAAGGACCCCACTGGCAAGTTTCACCGGTAATTGTATTGAGGCTGAGGGGACCATCCAATTGATGGTTGAAATTGGGGATGAAACGCACAAAACATCACTCCGTATGACGTTCGTGGTGGTGGATATAAAATGTGCCCACAATGCCATATTGGGCCGACCATGATTGGAAGATTTGGAGGCAATAGCCTCTGTCCGCCACTCATTCATCAAATTCCCCACTGACACCGGGGTTGGGGTGGCCAGAACTGATCCGACGACAGCCCGGACATGTTACCGAGAGGCCCTAAAACAGATGAACACTCGTGGAATGCGAGTTAACACAATTGAGGTGGAGACCCACCGAACGGAGTTCGAGGCACACCCAGAACCCGCCACTCTCCTCGAACAAATCGACCTGGATTTCCCCCCGAACCGTAAGGTAGCTATCGGGGTAGATCTGGAGGTTGACATCCGGGATGACGTGATTGCTGTCCTAAAAAAGTTTCAGGTGTTGTTCGCCCGGGGGGCAGAAGATATGCCAGGTATTGACCCGGAGATAATATGTCACAAACTTGCCGTTCGGCCTGATGCAAAACCAGTCCAGCAAAAGAAACGGTATCAAGCAACCGAACGGCAGGAATTCACAAAGCAGGAGGTGGCCACCTTGCTGAAAATAAAACACATCCATCCAGTAATCCACGTAGAATGGCTATCGAATGTGGTCCCAGCCCCAAAACAATCTACTTGGAGAATGTGCGTAGATTACTAGATCTGAATAAAGCTTGCCCCATGGACCCTTATCTAGTACCGAGGATCGATCTGCTAGTAGATGAAACTGCCGGATGTGAATTGCTGAGCTTCATGGATGCATTCCGGGGTTACCATCAGATATTCATGCACCCAGCTGATGCAGAGAAAACAGCGTTCGTTACTTCGGATGGTGTGTTTTGCTATATTGTCATGCCATTCGGATTAAAGAACGCAATGGCAACTTTTCAAAGGATGATCGGGATGCTGTTCAAAGAAGTGTTGGGGGTCACAATGGAAGCTTATGTTGATTATATCCTGATCAAAAGCAGGAAGAAGGAAAATCATGTCCTGGACATAGAAAAGGTGTTCGGGATAATGCAGAAAGCAAACATGAGGCTGAATCCCAAAAAGTGTGCTTTTGCTGTAAGAGGGGGCGATTGTTTGGGATACATGATGAGCGAGAAGGTGATTGAGCCCAATCCTGAAAAAGTAAAGGCAATTGTGGATATGGAGGCTCCTAGAAATCTCAAAGAAGTGCAGAGATTGACCGGTCGGTTAGAAGCCCTGAGCAGATTCCTATCCAAGCTAGCCGATCGAGCTATTCCACTTTTCCAGATCATGAAGAAAGCCAACCCCTTTGAATGGACGACCGAATGTCAAATGGACTTTGAAGATTTCAAGACATATCTGTCTTCCCCCCTGGTCTTGACAAAACCCGAACCAGGGGAACATCTATATATGTATCTTGCTGTGGCTGACCTGGCCGTGAGCACGGTACTGTTGAAAGACGAAGATGGCGTTCAACGACCAATCTATTTTGTAAGCAAGGCTTTGAACGGTCTGGAAACCAGGTACACCTTGCTAGAGAAAACAGTGCTGGCCCTGATAGCTGCCATTAAACGTCTGGCACCATATTTCCAGACCCACCCGGTAATTGTGTATTCTACTCAGCCACTAGCCACCATCTTGAGAAATCCGATGGCAAGTGGACGCATTACCAAGTGGAGCCTCCTGAGCGGGCAATATGAGGTGGATTTCAAGCCTCAGCCTACTATCAAAGGACAGGCCCTGGCAGATTTCATTGCAGAATGTACCGCCCGGCCCTCAGAAACAGACTCAGAGAACAATGGGCTGGTTAACTGGTGGGAAATGTATGTGGATGGTGCAGCTAGTGCCAAGGGTTGTGGAGCTGGAGCTGTGATCACATCG